TATTAAAATAATAAAATTAAGATTATATATGAATCCCTTTATGGCACTTTCTACCCAAAATAGAAGTATATCCTATAACAGTAGACACAAATGAAAATTATCTCATGTTAAATATAGACAATTAAGAATAAAAAACTACCTGCACCTAAATATTAATAACAATTGTTGCAGGGTATAAACAGAGCTACTAAGTACTAATGTAGAAATAAAATCGTTATGAACATCCCATATAACTACATATTCTCAACTTCTATGCCAGCTTCTTGGAGAGAGTATGCAGTTCAAAAATAACAATTCCCACCCATCAAATGTCATATTGATGAAGAGATGTACTAATCCAAAGGGTAGTTGGAGTCTCCTCCATGGATCATAGAAGTCATGCTTGAATTAATTCAAAGAGGGTTTGAGTCTTTGTCAATGTCCCAATCATGCCACCAATAGTTGAAGGAAGTGTTGTAACCAATTCAAGCCAAGCTAGCCCCACCATGATGTTGCTGCCCTCTTCAAGTATAATAGTGAAGAGATTTAAACATCTTGATTGAATCAACACTCAAAGAAAAATCATTGAGGATATTTAAACAATTTTACATAAAATTTTAATATTTTAAATTTATTAGAATGTCTTAATTTCTATTTTTCTCTTTCCTTTATTTTATTTGAGGGAAATGAAAAGCCCCTCCCCTTGTTTAGTTAGACCAAATATGAAAGACGTTAAAGTTAAGAAAATAATCAAAAGATATTTTTTTTTTACAAATTTTTCATACAACTTTACATATTATTTAATAATTGACTCTTTTTATTTTGTTAAAATACATAATATTATATATATTAACTCACTTAATTAATGACATATACTAATTGTCTAAAAAAATTATCTCCATCCCACTGCCTTAAAATAGAGTAAGGGAAAACCCATCCCCTTCAATTTTTTTTTTTTTTATTCAAGTAGATAAATTATCTATTGAGATCAAATGCATTCAAATAACACGCGCAATCTAAGAGCAAACTTTTCTTTGGTTTAATAGAAACTAAAATTCCTGGACTTAAAAGGAAATTAAATTGGCAAGTATCGACCCAAAAACAATTTTAGTGGCAGCTAAAATCCCTAGACATGAGAGAAATAGGCAAAGCATGGTCCTCCACACCCACACCTTCTGTGACGGCCAAAAATGAAATAGTCCTTCACCTGTGTCAACTCTGTTTTCATTAGGAGTAACCCGACGTATACGGTGCTCCACCAGCCGTCCAAGTTGTTCATTATTTTTATTTTTATTTTTTAATCAAGTTTACAAGGATGGATATCGAACTCACCATGAGAGAGGGGGAAATGCACTGCAAAGCAGCTCTAAAGCCGCTTGGCCCGAAGGGTCAAGTGCCGTTCAAGTTTTCATTTTTTTTGGGTAGACCGTCATAGTCATACGTTACCCTTCAAAAACTTCAGCTTTAATGGCACCCAATCATATTCCATTAATAGCCGGTCGTTCCCGCCTTTCTTTAATTCTTATTGGGACCCACTAATCATTCAATTAATCCCCCGAACCCACGCTGGCCCCTATAAAAGGGGGCACCAAGCAATCAACTACTCATGACCCCTTCCCATCTACTTCTAGCACCTTAAAAACATGGAAACTCAAACAGGTAATTCCTATTTCCTTCCATACATCAATATACATATTACTCAAGTATTTTCTTTTCTTTTCTTTTTTTTTTTTTAGCCCAACACCAACTATTTAAGTTATGTCATAGTAGACACGGCGAATTTTGTCCAGAAATTAACACAGTACCTTTTTTTTTTTTTTTTTTTTTTTT